GAGCCGTCAGCAAGCACGATCTCCAGGGGACGCTTTTGAAGACGTATGGCACGATGGCAGAGGCGGCCGAGGACAGCAATCTGTCTTACGAGCGGATGAAGTATGCAGTCAGGACGGGCAGCACGGCAACCGGTTTCCAGTGGAAGTATGTGAGGCAGTAGATGTAGGGGTTAGAGGCCGCGTTCCATATAAGCTTTATCTTTTGCCAGCATTGAAGCAGGACTCCTCTATGGTGAAAATTGTTGAAGCGCCCACCCTGCGCGTGCTAGTCGTCTCAACCCATGTCTCGCAAGTTACAGGATATTCCAAGGTCTCTTGGAACCTTTTGAAGCAGCTTGGAAAGTTTGACGACCTCGAGGTCATTCACTATGGGTTTCAGCACTTTAACAACGACTCCGACCCTCAGCAGAAGCGGCTCAAGGCCCTTCCAGAGTCGATCATTGTGCATGACGCCGCAAAAGCCGAAATCCCATTCGAGCAAGGCTTTGGAATCAAGAACTTTCGGGACTTTGTGAGGCTGAGCCGGCCGGATGTAATTGTGATATTCAACGATGCCTTCATTGTGGCCAAGTTTCTGAATGAACTGGCCATCGAGCCACGCGTGTGCCCGGGGGCTCGCATCATTGTCTACCTCGATACGGTGTACCCTTTTGTCAACCCCGACCTGCTGACAATCGTCAACCGGGGTGCAGACCACATCATCGCTTTCACAGAGTACTGGAAGCAGGAGTTGCTGGCGCAGGGTATAACCAAGCCAATGAGCACGCTCATGCATGGCTTTGATCCTGAAGAGATATACCCTACGGAACAGCGTACAAAGACAGCCGATGCGCCCATGATCTGCTTGAACCTAAACAGGAATCAGCCCCGCAAACGCTATGACTTGATGGCAATCACCATGGCCCTCGTGTACGCAAAGAGGCCCGATGCAAACGTGCGCTTCGTGGCCGCGACCGACCTCAAGGGTGGGGCTTGGGACGTCCCCAGGCTGTTTGCAAGGGAGCTCTGCAAGCGGATGGAGCCGGAGAAGGCTTACCATTTCCTGGAGTACCTTCTGACCGTCAAGAATCCGAGCGCCATGACCGACGAGGACGTGAACAAGCTCTACAACGAAGCAGACGTTGGCCTCAACTTTGCACAGGGCGAGGGCGTGGGTTTGACATCGATGGAACACGCAGGACTCGGCAAGCCCCAGATCTGCGGCCGCTTGGGCGGCTTCCAAGAGTATTTGGACGACAGCTGCGCCACACTGCTCGACGTGAAGGGCCATGAGTACATCGATTCAAGGGATGTGATCGGGGGGGAGGCATCAATCATCGACCCTCAAGATGCATGCGATGCCATTCTGAGATACTTGGATGATCCAGAGCTGCGTGCAGCACATGGGAAGGCGGCTCGCGAGAAGGTGCTAGAGTACCGATGGGAAGTCATTGGGCAGGCGCTTTATGATGTTATTGTGGAGTCCTCTTAGAGGTCGTTGACCTTGGGAGCTAACAGGAAGCGAAGCCTACCTAAGCTAGCAACGCTGAAGATCATGAGCAAGGGGAACGACTGCCGTAAGCAGAGGGTCACCTGCCCACACAGCGACGAGCTCTTGCTAAAGAGGTTCAAGTAACGCAGGGCGTATGTATTGTCAATCACCAGGTCCTTATTCTCTCCTTCTACCTCCTCATTGGCCATGTTGAGGGTGGTCTCCTGGGTCGCAAAGTCGCCGGAGCAGCTGAGCGTGAGGGTGCTGCCGTTGAGCCTGAAGCGGCAGGACGTCCCAATGGCTGACATGTCCCTCATCAGCCTCTAGAAGTCCACGGCGCTCAGCGAGATCGTGGAGTCCATCTTGAGGCGTGGCACGCTGATGGGGTCTTCATCAATGTCCAGCAGCTTCAAGGAGTACTTGGTGCTGCTCTTCCTTTCGGGGCTGTCTATCCTGATCCCCAGCTGGTGCTGATCTGCTGCGGTTAGATACATGCACAGGACGTCGTTGCTGGTGACCGACTTTACGAGTTTGAAGAGAGAAGTCATGTTAACACCCAAGACCAATGGCTTTGTGCAGATAAAGCTCTCAAAGTTTACCGCGTCAAGCTCGCAGTGAATCATCGAGACCTTTGAGCTGTCCGTTGTGATGAGCTTAATTTCCCACGCCGGGCGTCACGGACAGGTTGACGTCGGCGAGCCACTCTTTGCACAGCTCAATCAGAGACCGGAGGGCTGTGGCTTGGACGGTCTTGAGCTCAAAGAGGAGGTCTGCTGGTTGTTCCATCTCTACTTACCTTTTGCTAATCTGCAAAGCCCTAATACCGCGCAACGTTTCAGGCCCGTGCGATGGGCCTGGCCACCTCGGCATTGCGTTGAGCCACCAGGGCATCCAGAGATGTGGCCGGTGGAGCATCCACGCCGACGGAAGCGGGGTCCTCATCGAGAAAGGTATAGTTGATGCCAGCGATAGGTGAGGCCTGGTCACCAAGGGCAAAAGGCTTCACAGACACTTGGCTCTCCCTCTTGAGCCATTGAAAGGCCCTTTCGCCATACAAAGGGCTTGAGTTGCCAATCACAATCGCAGGCACCATGCGGAGATCGTGGGGTCTGTTTCTCCCAACCTGCACCCTGCGCACCCGCTTGCTTATCTCGGGGAGGGCATCAAGCAGCTTGAGGAACGTCACAGAGTGAGGGCATGACAGGGAGTAATACAACACTGTATCCATTTTGCAAGTGGGCAACTAATAAACAGTGAAGCTTGAAACGTGGCATGATGTGCGACCCTTTGCAAGCTCATACCGCATCTGTGCAATCAAGGATGTTGCATCGACAGGTGCATCGGAGAGTTGCACATCCTTTTAAAGCTGCATCTGGCAATTGCATTATCGAGTTGCGTCAGTACATGGCACGCTGCATCGGTGAGTTGCACTAGCATGCTGTACCCGTGAGGTGCATCAATGGAGAGCGCATGAAGCAGGTTGCACCTGTCAGCATAATACCTCGTCAAGCACAAGTTGTGTCATTGTGGGATCTTTGCAAGTCAAAGCAAACATAAATCCTCCTCTCCTTTCGTTCATTATCTGTAAAGCGCATCCTTCCTCAGCATGGCTCTGTGTTTGTGCAAACAGCAGTCTAGGACCAAAGCAGGTCTGCTAGAGCAACTCCTGTTGGCAGTGGACCTGTGCTCCAAGAAAGTGTCAAAGCCGTAGATAGCCCCTAGCTTTGTGGTCATCAAGACGGACCCGCTCGGACAAAACACCTCTGTCGGCCCCCGGTCTGCAGTCACCTCTACCAATGGCAACATGAAGACAAGTAAGACCGGCGGGCTCTCGCAGAGATCGACACCCCTGTGGAGCACTTGATCGCCAGACTTTGTGTCATTCGTGATGACCCTTGAGCTGAGCAAGGCGTACTGTTCCCCTAGCGCAGCACTCAGCCTCTTCCAGACCTGGTCCTTCAAAGCCTTCAATCCCCATGGCGTGTCAAACAGCTTGACAGCTCTTTCCTTCACGTGAGGGCTGTCCTTTTCCAACAGCCGCCTCAAATCCTTTTCGCTTTCTCTATAGGCGTCTCTGAGCTGAGCACTTTCAACCCAATCGTTCCCGATCCAATAGCCGTTTCGTGTGATGCTCTCTAGGATGCCGCACGAAGCATTTCGCAGCTGCTGCAGCTCTTCCCTTAGGCAGTCAGTTCCTTGCTTCAGTTCCGAAGCCCTCTCCATCACCTCTAACCGCTCTCGCTCCCGCTGCTCAGCAAGCGCTGTTGCATTCACCAGTTTCGCCGGTAGGGTTGCAGTCTCCTGCTTAAGGTTTCCAACTTCCCTCTCCAAGATCTTGACCCTCTCCGTTTCCCTCAACCGCTCTTGCTTCTCTTTGTCAGCACCTTCCTGAGCACCTTGCAGCTCTGCTCTAGCCTGCTCGACCAACCGCTCCCACTTCTTTCTGGCAACCCCATCCTCCTGTACCTCAGGGAATTCTACATTGGCGACGTTAAGAACTGCTGCAATGTTGCAGGCGGAGACACACGCATTGTCCAGCTTTCTGGACCTTGAGGTGCAATTCTCCACTCTTCGTTTTGCATCAAGAAGGACGCTGACCATCTCTGTCTGAGTGACGTGAAAACTCGGCTTTCTGGTGTTTCCAGTCAGAGCACCTTCACCAAACAGTCCGCGTATCTCCTTCACGAAAGACAAGTTGTCACTACAGCGCAGTAACCTCATCCATCTGCCTTCATGGCCGGCTTCTCCTGCCAAACAATGGGAGCAACGACCACAGTGCGCCATGGTCGCAAATGCACCACTTTTTAACTGCCTTTCCATGCCCACCATCTCGGAAAATTTACCCGGCCCGGAGGGCCGGGTAACGAAATTTTACAAAACGGGGTAAATGGGTAATGTCCACGTCGGAAATTATCCCGATGGTGTGGACAGAGGGTAAAGGGGTATAAAGGGTAAAGGGGTATAAGTGGTAAAGAATCTGGCTGGGATTACCCCTGTCCCCAAGCTAGGTGTGGACAGCCCCTGAGCACACTGTTCGAGTTTTCAGGGAAACGTGGCACCCTCTCCATACCACCGTGGCTGCGTGGAACGCGAATATGGTACGGCTGACTCTTTACCAACATGTGTTTTCCTCCGGGCACAGCTTGTCCCCAACTTTCCCTTTTCTAGTGCCCGGTACAACCCACTAAGTGCAAATATCCAACCTGTCTGCCACGTGGCTACACATGCAATCACTCCCAAGCACCCTTCCAATAACAATAACAATAACAATATTAAACAATAACCCTTCCTCTGAATAGCATCCATGTCATCATGCTACGTAAGCCACATGGATAAGATAGTGGTTTAGCCTGATCCTGAACAAGGAACCGTCGGATAAAGCAAATCGCATTTTCGACAGTTACCGATTGCGGGTCACATTGTATTTATCTTGACAGAAAGATCTGGGGGCCCACAACCACCAAACACTGGGACACTCGGAAGTCGAGGACCCAAAAGCGTCGAAAAAGGCCATGGCCCCGGTTTGACCCCACACTCCACGAAGAAGGGGCGCATTGACTCAGCTTCTATCCTCTACGGTTGTCCACATGGCGCCGCGTTGTGATAGATGTCGACAGATCACGTGATTTCCTCTTCCGGCTCTTGATCGGAGAGTTGTTCATGTGGACACCGAGCCT